TCACGCCTTGCTGATGAGTGCCAACCAAGCACTTACCTACGGCAAGCAAGACTTCCTGCCGATTACCTCCAACTATCTAATATGGTCGCGATTTATTTGGCAGTGAAACTTAGGTGCTCATTTATTTTGGTGGTGTAATCACGGAAACTAGAATTCCTAATTAAGCATCAAAGGATTAACCACTAGGTCCCTGAGACAGTTGGCACACGAGTACTAACTACATATTGATTAATAACTGCAGCCAACGTGGTATCGAAATGGTTAACATACATATGCATCTACCAGTTCTCTTCGAAATCTACATTAATAAACCGCTCATACATAAATCATCATCAAAATGCTGTAGTATATTTGCTTGGAAAAATTTCTTCTCAACAAGCGAAGGCGATATGCTCTGCTTTTTTAAAGCTGTCTCAAAGGTGTACCCAAATAAGTTCTAAAAGTAATTAAATTAATGAATCATTTTATACGGAATGCAACCGATTGTTCCTTATGTTCGAAAATCACATGATGGATGCTTAGTAGACATTTTTATCTACTTTCTTATGACGATAATAATTCATAAACATTTCTTTCTGAAATCACGAGTTGTTACGATGTGCCGAATGGTTTAATTACTTTTAAAATGTATTGACATATGAAGTCAATCTAGGGATTAACTGAGAAAACAAAGCACGCTCACCCCATAAAGATACTACCGGTGAACGACACAAGTTCGGAAGATTTGTGGAGGTAGTTAGTAATCTCCTCTACTGATTCATGGCTTATCTTGGTTTAAATACTCCCAATCTGTTTATATCCTTTAAAGTGCCTGTAAACGTTCTCTACCCAGTGTAAATGCCAGTTCGTATTACCGTTAAGTTTGAGGTAGCCGTTAACTGATCGGATAGTGAAAACTGCTTACATGACTTTACGTTACAATAAAAAGTGGGATTTCAGCATCATACTGGTGATTGACAATAAACAATAGATAACACTAACACTGTGATTACAGACTTATGTTTACAAATAAGCCTGAAGGACTCCTGAAACACTTCCCATCAGACTATTCTGGAGAATAGAGATTACGAAAAAGTACCACTAACTGTCAGAGAACAAGTTAAGTGGCAGTAGCTATTTCGTTACCACACGCTTTAGTTACTCTGTGGTTTGACTGGAAGAGTTCCCTGCTGTGCAGATAGCCTATGAAACGACTAAAACCATGTTCTTGGGGAAGTCTACCTCACTGTTCCTTAACTGAATCGGAAATCGCAACCAGATTATTGGAGATCATCATACACGGACTTCACAGGCAATACACTGCGGCTGTATAGTGAAACAACAGATTATTCTACCTCGAAAACAACACTACATTAAGTATTTCCCTTTAGACTTTTACCAATATGTTGTACCAAACTTGATCAGGAATGAGAAGTGGACAAAACGACTTTATAAAAAGGAGCCACTGTAAGCTGAATATCCAGCTGTCCTTTTGTGCGCACACAGAAGTGATGCTGCCGCCTACAATGTCCAACAGTACCCTCTGCAATTAACTGTGACGTTTGTTAAAGCTACACAGGCCAATAATCCGTAAAAACGATGCAGCTTGTTACCACGCTTCACTTCAAAGTATATTGTAAATAAATGAACTTCGAGTTAACTCCTGGACCTCACAAATGCATTAGGTTACAGCAGTCACCATCGGAATACCAGAAAATTCCTTTTATCAAACTATCAATAAGGTACATCTTAGATTTGTGTGTATGTGGCAAACGTATGTGCTTCAAAGATCCTTGGGAACCAAACCTATTTATTAAAGATTACTTCTTTTTTTCACGTACTTTAACCTGACTACTAGGATTGAAGCTACGGAATTTATGCTAAAGATATGTGAAGATTCAACAGCAGTGATAGCATCAATTATTGTAGCAGATAGTTCACACAACTCATGTTCGAAGCAAACTACTCCTTGACTCAGACTTACTACTATGCTGTAAACCATTTTGTTGTGTGCAGGACCGAGTGTCCTTACAGATATCATGCACCGTCCAAATATCGCTAAAATTTAACATTCGATATCTCCATTGCATATAAGCTCATTGAAAAGGGGCGGATACCTTATTTTGGGCAATCTGCTACCATGACATAGTGGACATTTACAAAACTTCCTCAAGAAAACAGCACAAGCTTTTTCCCGAAAAGCACCAAAATGTGGGTCTCTCAGCTATTTATGCTGAATTTACGAGAAAGATATTTGGTGTGATGTTGTGGCCTCTTAGATACACATATATAATGATCTGGAGAACTCTATAGACTATAAATACATAAAAATGAATGGTGAAATGGACGCAATCAATATTTCGCAAGACCATAACAAGCCATCACGGCAAGAAGAACATGCAGCAACATTAGGGATTCATGCTGTAAGCCAACGGAAAGGCATTCAAGCACATTATTCGACTCTGGTCACATAAATCAGTGGCTTAAGTAGTCCAGCTTACTCAGAAACAATAAATAAGCAGATATCAAGATACTTACAACACTTAAAATTTACGATGTTACTAATAAATTTTTTGCCCATATTCTACCTAATCAGTAGCACTTAAATACCAATGAAAAGACAGACCACCGATACAAATTTAATATTCATTAGAGACATGAATGAGGCTCTCATTATTACAACCCTTAAAATATCCCGCTCGAGTTACAGCGTCTTCCCGTAGAATGATAATTCAGTAGAAATCAAAATTTGTTTACACTCTATGCATTGCATAGAATCCTAGCTCACACAGACTGCAATCATCAAGAGCGGAGTGTTTCTGTATACTACATAATTCTATCTCTCAACCTACTCAGATTCAGCTTAAAACATTCTCCATGTTAGGCATAGTAACATAGTTTTAATCCTAAAAAGCACGAAGTTTCCAGTAATAATACTGATATTATTGATCTGCATAACCGACTACGAAAACCCTCTTGAAATCTTTACACTGAATTCCCAGTAACTCAGAAATTAGTCTTTAAAATTGTTTAATGGTGTAACGAACAATAAAACTTTATAGAACGGACACAATAAGTGAGCAAACTGATTTCATTCATGAACTTAGTTCAGGAAAGATTGTGGAGCATATCAACAGTTAGCATATTATTGATCCTTTTTCCAATTATGCAATAATCAGACATTATCTTCATATCAAGAGGAAAATAAGAGTTTTTTAAAGGTAGAAAAACAGAAGTATGCATATACACCAACAACGTCATGGCACATTAACAAGCTCAATCATTGGAATGCGGAGAACAAAGAGAAATAAATTGAAGAGGAAAACTTAAGGAAAACCACCTGCACCACAAACATCTGATGAGTAAAATAACTAAAGTTGTTAAAAGAATTAATCGTAATAATGTAGTACCAAAAGAATGAACATGAGAACAAATACCTCGTGAGATGGTAAAGCGAGGAAATGTGTGCGGGGAGCAAGAGTAATCAAGGAAACGTGTAAAAATGACAGGATGACATGCGTATACATATGTATATATTTATATATATATTTATATATATATAAATCAGGCTTTCCTACAAGTCACTGTCGACAAGTGTATCAACGTGTACGAACAGTTTCTGACGATGGTAGTTCAATTCTTCTAGTGCAGATACCAGGAATGATAATGGTCTGTGTAATTTACTGCACGTTACTTTGTTGTCATCATTGTAACAAACTCTGAAAATAGGAATAGGTATTGATAACAACGGAAATCCTAAAAGTTTTATCTATCACACAACTAGGACACTGCATGCTACCAAAATTTGCATTGCTCAACAAAACACGTGGACGAACAAGCAGGTAATCACATTCATGTGAAAATGTGGACCAAAATTTCACAAAGGCATGCATTTGCAAGGAAGAAAGTGGTACAAAGTGACAACATGAAATAAAAGCAGGAGCACAGAAATGACTCGATACCTATACAGATACTAGTCTAGCGTCAAGATCTCAAACTTCATTTTGTGTGAGAAACTAATTTGGTTAATACATGTTTTCACTAATCCTACAGACTAGAATTCAAAATACTTTGCCCAGTACGATAAATGGTGACATAAAACTTTTACTGTCCTGAGTAATTTAGCAACATAATAAATAAAGCCGTGACGAAAAAAACCAGATAAATTGAGAACTCATTATTCGACCGAATCCTTTACTCAAGAAATTTCAAAAGTATATATCCTGAGAGGACGGACAAATTGTGAGAACTTACTGGATAAAATAAACGTTAACCTCTTCGTCAAAAACCTAAGATAAAACTAATGCAACAATACATACAATACCTTAATAAACGTGATTTCATATGCAGAAGAGTGAGCATCAAAGGCTTTATTGTTTTTCCGCATTGTAGAGATAACGATAAACAATTTTCAAGGTTAAAAAATAAGAAAAGGTTGTGTGCAAGAGTGGGAGCGTACATTTGAATTTTCTAAAAAAAAAAATAAAATAGCCCAAGGGACCATCAAAACACCAGAAGAACTCAAACTTTATTATCAGACTCTTAGTTCGTAAACAACCCATGCGTAAACAAAGGGCCACTTAACACGGCAATCACAAAGTTGCTTCACAGATATTGTCTGCTCATAATGAGCATCCAGATGAATGAGTGTGATGTAAATGTTTATTTCTGGTGTTATTTCAGTATTCTCATTTCGCCGTCATCATTTTGACGAACTCTGTTGATACATTTCACGAACGAAGATGATTTTGAAGATGGTCGTAGTGATATAATCGAAGCCACCACATGCGAATACCATCAGACAAATCGGATGAAGTGAACACGAAAACGCACCGCAGATGCACAGAGTAAAAAAGACAACAATGAGATGGCGAAATTTTAACGACATATATATGATGCACAACATATAAACATAAATGAACTAGGAGCAACATAAACAAACTACCAACACTACACTATTAGGACTTAAAAACTACGACAGTTTGGTATGTTATTTAAGAAACGAAACATGCTAAATTTACCTTCATAATTTACTTGACCGTCACCGTCAATATCAGCTTCACGAATCATTTCATCTACTTCCTCGTCTGTTAACTTTTCACCCAAATTGGTCATTACATGCCTGCAAACATTAACAAGATACATAATTAACGCGTTGCTGAGCGCGACCACGTGTTGATGTTTGTTAAGAGAACAAATAATTGCCACAAGCTGAAACATCAAAAATGCTTTCAAAGATTCTGTCAGATACAAAAGCGTCAGACTTCAATGAAGATCACATTATTTTTCATAAGGGTAACACACACAATTTCGCCTTTTTAAATTCTACGTTATTCAGGTAATCCAGTATGTTGGATTACATGAAAGTCAGTTTATAATGTCACTAGAACAAACATTAGGTCTCAAACAGTGAACTTGGTTTATTTGCCACGCTTCAATCACAAGACAAAACCAAAAGAGTAAAGGTTAAGACATGTAAATCCAGAAAACATGATAAACGACTGTTATATGACTTTAGAAATAAGAGAATAAGACTACATTATTTGAAATGGGTGTTACTACACTTAAGCTGAACTGAATTTCTAACATAAAACTTCGCAACAAAGCCCACTAACTTTGTTTAGCACACGAAAATAAAGAAAACAATATGGGAAATAAAATGAACAGTGAGAAAGCACCAAATTGACTTATCAACGTAAATTAATGCAAGGAGCCAAAATTCAAAAACGCACAAATAGAAACAGGAAACAAATGCAATGCAAGTAAAACGAACGAAAATACCTACCAGGAATAATTAGGTGAAGAATAACGAGGATTTAATGAATCCGGAATATCATAAGAAGTGAACCCATCCATGCCGTGGAGAAGGCTTTTAAGTCATGTCACCAACTATATTCAGCAACTGATTATGTGTCGCAATAGTTGTTCGAGTGAATTGCGCTTTGAGAAATTGAAGAACACTCCAACATATGTCGGCATCCACCTGTATTCTAGGTAGCTGGATGATAACGTGGGCCATGCGATTCGCTCCCGCCTAATGCAAGATGATGTTACAGGACTGGACTACACCGACTCCTAGATTAGAAATAGGGAGTGAAGTGGTAGAGCACGTTGACCGCCTCACTTACTTGGGAAGTACCATCAGCCAACGCCAACGGGTTGATCTCTGACGAAATCTCAGCACGGATACAGAGGGCTAGTTTCGCATGTCAGTTTACGCCGTCCCTGGCGTAGACGTGATATCCGGCTGGCTATCAACCAAAGGGCGAGTGTACTACTCATCAGTCCGCTTCGTCCTCCTTTATGGCTGCTAGTGAGACCTGGCCATTAAGAATGGAAGACATGAAAAGACTAGCTGTCTTTGATCATAGGTGCTTTTGCTCTATCTTCCGTGTGAAATGGTATAACAGGGTGAGCGATATTGAGGTTAAGCATCGGTCGAGTTCTAGGTAAGGAGGGGAAATCAATCGACGAAGTTACAAAGACTGAGATGGTTAGGACACGTGTTACGTATGCCTAGTCATCGCCTTCCTCGACGAGCAATGTTAGCGGATATAAGGCCAGGCTGGAAAAGAGCTAGTGGAGGTCAAACAAAAACATGGCACCAGTCAATAAAATCCACAACAGTTAGTTTAAGCCAGCCACGTAGGAAGGTGTAGACTTCCTGACTGGTCGGGGTCCTCCGGACGGTAAAACCAATGGTTGGAAACAATTGGTGACATGGCTCAAAATCGTTCTCAGTGGCGTAGATTCACTCACTCCCTGTGACTTATGATTTCCAATGAAAATATATTGTTCTTCGTTATTACTATTCCTTTGTCTCACACCTCTGTTTACTGTCCCTATTATGCATTTCTTCTACTTTCTTGTTTTGCTTTGTGTGCTACATGGAGTGGAGTGTGGTGACTTGAACTGCCACACATCGGTGTAAAGTTCTATATCGAAAACAGACAGAGACACAACGTGGGCCACGAGAAAATCTGTTTCTAACAAAAGCAGTTGATTAGGCAAAAGTAGTTTAAAAGACTAATTAAATTACCTGCGCAACTTATAGTGCCATCAGACTTTTAGTCTTATTGAAGCATGATTATATTAATGATTCACTTTTCGATACATTACATATTGCACACAACTGTACATTAATCCAAACAAAAATGCTGAGTTAAGTATTTTGATGTGCTGAGGAAAGGCAATCGAAATGAAAAAGCAAAATATTTGGGGCCAGTTTACAAATTTACAGCTAAGCTTGTCTGAACATCTAGAAGTACAGCCCAAATAGAAACATTGATACTAACTTCTACGGAACTAAGACATGATCCGTACTATTTTGAAGATAGGAAATTATCATTTACACTTACCAGCACGATGCATTCGCATGCTTCTGCATCCTTTAGCGCTTAAGTCGATGACTATACCACTACGCTAAAAACGTCATAAGAGAATGTATATCCGACCACTTTTACAGTATACTGTTGCTGCGTTTCGATACGTCAAATGGATATGAAGTAACGGTGGCTATACCCATGATATCAATGCTAATGATACAACCTAATGCAGTGACAGCGTCACATCTTTGCATATTTCTTACTAAACAGAAACATCAATGATTGTTAAGAACATAAAACAGACTAACAAAAGTCTGTGTCCAGATACCCTAATCTGGAGACAGCGAAGTGTTGGTGGGGAATCAGAAAAAGCCCTTTAAAATAAACATGACAAAGAACTTAAAAGCACGTTCACCAAGGGATTACAAAAGGATGGGACGAAAGCACGTCTTGCTGGTCAAACCCAGTTGTCCAGAACTAGGCTGAGCCAGGCTTACCGTGTAAGAGCTGAGAACCATGCTTTCAAACCAATGGGCCGCATCTACACATGGCGGCAACATTTCTTTGACAAACTTCAATGTTACTATAGTGCACCCACACCAGTCCTACGCGGACATCTTATGTGAACCTAACAGGCCAAACCAATAAATTATATTGGCCAACTACTCTAAGAGCCTCGTTTTCTATGGCTGACATCGTCTTAGGTAACCATTGTCAAAATGTCCCATAAATACAAAAACGTAGCATTCATATTAGTTATAACTGAAGTCAGGACAAAGTCTTACTTTGTTCTAAACAGTTTGATCGGATATACTATTATTTTATTCTACAGTATGCTAAGAACTTTGTCGGAATACCCAGTGTCATGATGAAATAACATCAGGTCTGTCGACTCCAAAGAATGCAAAATGATAAGCTATACTAAAACGACATTTCTACAGAAACTGTTATTAGCTCAGACAATACTTTCAACTTTGCATGCTCTACTGCAGTTATTATGCCTGACTGCCAATTTGAGTGCACAGAACTGAACCGCATATCTGATACTTAACGATATAACTGTGTTCAATTTGTAAGACGCTGCTAACGCTAGACGAAGTAAAAGGCAACAGCGTCCCTTAATACAACTGTACTGAAATGCATTGCTTCATCAAATAAATCAAACGACTGCAAGACTGTCTAGTGCAAATTAGATGGCAAGTTACATATGGGCGAAAAATATTCCCCACTTATGAAAAAAACATATGCACCATATACGTTTGTTCATGCGTCATCAGGAATCCTTTTCGTAATGAGTGTTTAGTGGTTAACCAGTAAGAGGAGAAATCACTGCTACCAAGCATCTCTATATTCAAGTGCATATCACGGCAATTTAATTTCCTGTAATAAACTGTGCCACTTAAATGTTGCCTACGTCAGATAGATGTCCAGGCTTGTACATCACTAGGTGTTAATGTATGAAAAACCACACAATTTGTTAGTCTGATAAAGGCTACGATTTGTGCAATATTAGGAATGTGGAAAGGGTGAGGACTAGTAAATTGGTGTACGCATCCATTTTCAAACATGTCAAAAATAATTTTGAAATGTTGACAGCTGCAATCTAAGGCAAAGTTCCACGCTGTTCACTCCTAAAGCGTGTTGCCATCGTTACACATTTCTACTGCTCAATAGATGCACTTGTAATCCTAGATACAATAGTCCTAGATATCAATTAGCAACAAAGACACGTCTGAGTTTGGAACTACACCAAACGAATGAGTAATTCACATATTAATGGAAGTAAGCAGCACCTAGTGCTTGAGGACCTCCAATAAATAGAAAGTGCTGAGTAAATGTGAACTGTACTCAGCCGTTCCATGTCAACCATAACAAGCGAGAGTTGTGGTATGTAAAAATTGGACACAGCTGAGTTAGTGAACAGCATAAAAATGTTTCCTAAAAGACCGTGCACTTACCGGAGTTCAGCTGCGGAAATGAATCCATTCCCATCCTTGTCAAAGACACGGAATGCTTCTCGAATTTCTTCTTCACTGTCAGTGTCTTTCATCTTCCGAGCCATCATTGTGAGGAATTCGGGGAAATCAATTGTGCCATTGCCTTAATCTCCTATTAGCATGGCTAATCTGGTCTTACCATCAGCATCAACTTCGTTTATCATATCCTGAAGCTCGGCTTCTGTAGGATTCTGGCCCAAAGAGCGCATAACAGTTCCCAACTCTTTGGTAGTTATTGTTCCATCACCATCCTTGTCAAATAGGGAGAAAGCTTCCTTGAATTCAGCAATCTGTTCTTCTGTTAACTGGTCAGCCTAATGCAAAATCTGTGTTACGTAAACAGACAAACCAACCATTCTTAGAGATGTACAGGTATGTGGACGGTATCCAGATAAGCACGATAACCCGTAACAAGACCGCTTGATATGGACTGCTGAGTAAAACACAGAATGTCACTAACACAACTGTGAATGAGAAAGGTAGATCCTATTAATATTTAGAAATTAATAAATACTTAATTGAAATAAACAGTAATGACATTGAGATGCTGAACTAAGTCAAGCCGCGGAACTTAAGTAGTACTACGTTTAATTCCATTTTGGTCCTTTACAACATAAAGTCAATGGATTGTAAATTCACATTGCTGTTTAGCACTAAGTTATGAGTTATAAAAATGGTGACCTCACCTACTCGGTCAACGCTTCCATGTCGAAACGAATGGGAGATTGTTACTGTGCGTACAAGACCTGTAAAAGTAAAATTCCAGAATCTCACACTTTCCAGAGAATTAAAATTTGTCGACAAACTTTTTACAGGGGCCAGAAGAAGCTGAAAAATACCCATTAGGACTTGCGCAGTTTCGAAATTCGGATCCTGCAGTGAAGAGAGTGATACAAACGTGTAGCGGCAAATAATTCCCCAAAATTATTGACCACATCACTCATCACTGAACATTGGACTCTGAGCAGCACTGTTTAAGTCAACTTGTTTTGCAGAAGGATCCCACGCAATCATTCACGCTACTTGGTACTCCGTCGTGCCACGTTCGTGCACGATCACTAGCCAGCCAAACAATCATCTCGCATTCCAGTTTGGTCCTGTCAATGGAGTTAAAGATTGAACGATCAATTCTTGGTTGTTTGCTCAAAATCAACTTCCTCAATTTTCGCGGAGGCATCAATACGACAGTCATCGTCTCATCGGTCGCTGTTCAGGAAGAAGTCAGGAGACAACCATCAGAAGTAATCTTGTGATTTATTATTGTAATATTTGTTCACAGACCTTAATAGAAATATTATTTATATGTTGGTGTTACAATAAAGAATTCCCAAGAGGCCAATCAGTGTTTTGGTTTTCGTCCGTTATTACTAAGCGTTTCTGAAAAACTGCAAGGAACAGCGTGGGCCCGAGCGTAGCAAGAGCTGGGCATTAACGGTTTATGAGACGTGACTGACAGTTTCTGATGGTAGGAACAGACTTTGGTGGATTCAAAAAGTTGGTGAAAGATTGGATAGTTACCGTTCATCTCTCCTGGTGCCGGTCAAGTCCTCTTTGAACAAGCAATATCTGGAACGTTTTTGGAATTGGGTCAAGTTCAACAATGCCTGGGTCAAAGAAGGGACAGAGTGTCTTGGATGCAAACAGGAAAGTAAATCATTGTGACTTGTCTGTTAATTGTAACGATGTGTCTGATGTTAAGCATGACATGGTTGATGTTACTGTTTCGCCGTTCAGGGATAATAGGAACATCAAACTCCCTAAATTAGAACCACGGTGTATTGGTGGAAATCCGGCTGATTATTTACAATTTGTAAAGGAGTTTGAGATCATGTTGAGTGGTATTTTATTAAATGATGAATTGGAGTTAATGTATTTGATGAGATATTGCACTGGAGATGCTGCAAGAGCTATACAGTGCTGTAAGTTTATGAAGCCAAAAGAGGGCTACGATGAGGCTATGAGCATATTACGTCAAAGGTTTGAAAGACCTTCGATGATTGCAGGGAAATTATTCGAGGCTGTTAAGGGTAATGGTGGTCAGTTACAGGATGACTCCAAGGCACTCACTGAGTTTTAAGATAATTTGCTAATTTACAAGAATGCAATGATTTCGAAGAGTTGCATGAGTGGCCTCAACTCGAGTTTTATACTAGAAGTAATAGCAAGACGCCTACCTACTCGACTGCAAAGGAAGTGGGTGAAGATAAGCTCCCGTATGGAGGATGATGGTATCGAGCCAAAGTTCGATGATGTTCTGAAACTAGTAAAAGATAGTGTCAATCAATCTATGAGCAAGTTTGCCAGTATATTGAATCTCACCCCTAGAATAGAGCAGTCTGAGAGCAAAACGCAATCATTGATGACGAATAGGCCTCAGAGAGGTGGGTATCGAGAAAGCTCCATGATGTCTAGTAATGCATATAGACCTAGTGAGTGTAACAGGTTTCGTAGTACATCCTCAACAGATAGGTTACAAGCTGCAAGACAAACACGGTTGTGTTTTACATGTTTGCAAGAAAAGCATACAAAGATGAACTGTGAATCAGTGAGCAAGTTTAGTGATAAGCTAAATGTGAAATCAAGGTCTGACTCCGAATTGTGTGACGATAACGGTGTTGTGAAGAAGTCTGTAGTTACAACTGGTAAGCCATTGTTGAATAGAGTGTCACAGAAGAGAGTTACAGTCTCAGAGTGCAGTTCTGACTCCATAAGTTTACAAAGTATAACTAGTCAGAGTGAAGATATAAAATCTTTGGGGATTTGTGAGGAGGAACCAAAATTGTCTACTGCTGTTAACAAAGAAATTGAAAATGATAAAGTTGACGGTAAAGTGAATGTTCGTGATAATGATCATGATACTTCACAGTTGCCTTTGGTTGATCATGATGAGATGAGGGATATGCCTACTACTGCTAAGTTAATTAAAGGTTCTGTACATCTTGAACGTGAGGTAGAAATAAATGCAGATGCAGTTGCAGAAGGCATACATACTTGCCAGACCGTCAGTGTAGTTGATCAGCATATAGCCCACCTATCATCAGATGCTAATGTTTAACCTGAGCTGACAGTAAAAGACAGCAGTGGTGGTGGTCTTGCATGTAAACAACTTTCTGAAAGTCGAGCAACAACAGCTTCTGATCCACCGCTAAGTTCATCAACTGGTATCAATCGGTCATCGTTGGTGTTGTCATCCACAATGAAACAGTGGCCCATCAACTTAAGTATCTTGTGCAATGACCATGATAGTATTGGTGCATTTGAAAAGACGAAAGATATTGCTCAGTTTGGTGAGAATAAGCCAAGTGTAAGCGAAAGAGTAATTGTTAAATTGACTTGCACGAATAAAGGCATTTCTAGTTTCAAGTTACTAATTGAATGTTATTATCTTTGGTGTAAATTACTCTGTTTCTACGCTTGGTTGACCAGATACGTCGTGTGTTTGTTAGTCATCTATATTCTACGATACAATGACATGAGCGTGTTACCGTTCAGATTTGAGGATATAGCTGATAGAGGGAAGTCAGAAAATGAACTCTGCGACGATTTTCCAACCTAGAGCGTCAACCTGAGAAGGGTTGTAGGCGTACTGCTGTAAGTCCTACAATTCTTCAAAGGGTAGCGCATCAATGAGCAGTCCACTGTGCTTGGTGTGTGATTTTGTACATATGTCGATATTGCATATACTGAATTGGTATCATTTATCATCTAGCTGTTGGTAATTCTGTTTGTGTCCGGACGACTTCCACTTGTATCATCAACCTGAGAAGGAATGTGGGCGTACTGCTGTAAGTCCTACAGTTCTTCAAGGGTAGTTTGTCGTGTCAGAATCCACAACATTTGATGTAGTGATTGTACTTATGTTTGCGTTAAATAATTGTGTGAGTTCCAAGTGATGTAATTGTTGGTTAATCTTGTTTGTGTCCGTACATTCCACAACTTACAATCGTCAACCTGTGAAGGGTTGTAGGCGTACTGGTGTAAGTCCTGCGATTCTTCAAAGGAATTCCATCAAGACATGAACTGAGAGTTTGTGTGTACTGTTTGTATATACGTGTGGTGTGTCATATCAAGTGGTGTTTTTTGGATTCATTGTGTTTACTTGTTGTTTTCGTATCTTGTTGTTATTGCGTAATTTTGTTAATTTATTCGTCGTGATTATTTCTGAAGTTGTTTCGAGTCTTCTACATCCATGAATGAATAGATTGATGTTAAGGACAGCAGATGGGTCGTGTACGCCGGAGAGGCTAGGCTATTGCTGAGAATGAAATGCACACGGAGATAATTGTTAGCTGCGGTCCGACACGCCGGGGAGAAAGAGTGTAAACGACTGAGGCTCGCATGCGTCACCGTTGCTAGAACTGAGGCAGAATGAGTGACAAGCGATTTCAGTGTTAATTGGTAGTGAGTAGATAAGAGAATGTGCGTAGAGTATCATGAGGTGCTGCTATGGTCTCGTTGCGTTCTGCAAGGGTCATTCTAGCAAGTGGCGATTGCGTTGCAAGATATCAAGAGGATGCCTTTAACTCGAAGGTGTAGGTCGTCATTGATGTGTGAGATTGTGCTGTGAGTATGCTTGTGGTGTGTTGGCTTTTCTGTTTGTTTTCCATTTCAGCTCTGTCCGTGTGACCCAGGTTCTCGCAATGGCATCCAAGTCAACGTGTATAGGTCGTGATGGAGAAAAGGGATGGATCCGTATTTTGCCGGGGAGTGTCAATTTAGTTGAAGATTGAACGATCAATTCATGGTTGTTTGCTCAAAACCAACTTCCTCAATTTTCGCGGAGGCATCAATCTGCCAGTCATCGTCTCATCGGTCGCTGTTCAGAAAGAAGATTAACAAAACTGTCAGAAGTAATATTGTGATTTATTATTGTAATATTTGTTCACAGACCTTAATCATACGTCATTTATATGTTGGTGTAACAATAAAGAATCCTCGAGTCAACAATTGGTGTTTTGGTTTTTCGTCCGTTATTACTAAGCGTTTCTGAGAAATTTCAAGCGACAGTGTGAGCCCGAGCGTAGCAAGAGCTGGGCACTAACGGTTTATGAGACGCGACTGACAGGTCCCGAAATATATCTCGTGATTTGGATGATCAGCTCAGGTGTTTTTCTTTGTCTTTGATCTACGCGGAACGAGTACTGTAAACGTTTTTGTTATAAGATCTTGCGTTAGTATACTCCGTAAAATCCGCGAACGTCAATACCGTCAGCCTCTAAAATCCTAAGTGCAGTAAATCGAACAAATGGAAAGCGAACCTTGACCGCATTACTCATATCGATCAAAAGTGGGTGCCCACTGAATTTCGAGGATGCTTCACCCCCCCCACCTCGAAATAACGGAAGGATACCGCCAA